GATCTGGTAACTTAGTTTTTTGTCATAATTGTGTATATCTGATCTGACTTTTTGATATCCATCTTAACGTAACTTTTCTCACTAATCTTTTGGACACGTTAGTTATTTTAAGTTATCGTGTCACAGAAGATTCAGCTAGACGTTCACCAACAATCATGCTTCATTATCAATTTCAGCGGCCCCTTTACATTGACATTCTTCATCCTTCTTTCAAAAATACAATAATATGTTATTCGTAAAACAGACAAATTCAATGATATAGAATGAGTTAAAGTACAATTAACTTACCATGTGGATACATACTCCCAAAACGTGGAGCTGAAAAAGGTGAGGGCTACTCTTATCGAATAGTGGGTTCTGACAGTCACTCCTATAATGCATCTTAGTCCAAACGGTGCGGCAGCGCGATTTTATAGTAATGGAACGCGAAACATAGATCTTCGGATTCACGCTAAGTTCTGGGCACGCTCGGTAAGTGATGTGTTGTTTATTTATTTTGTACAATGTTGCATTTCAAGTATAGCTGTTTAAAACTCTACCGGCAGAGTTTCCCCCAGTGGCACAGTGCCATGTCTGCGAACTTACAACGCTAGAAACCGGGTTTCGATACTCGTGGTGGGCAGAGCACAGATAGCCCATTGTGTAGCTTTGTGTTTGACTTCAAACAAACAAACAAACAAACAAAAACCGACAGAGTGAATATTTTTTGTTTTATTTTTTAAACAACAGCGCCAAGATATGTTATTATTTCAACCAAGTTATGGATGCTCACGGAAGATTTTGTCTGTAAACGCTCAGAAGTGACATTTGATGGCAAATGCTAATAATACCAGAACTGTTTATTTCGTGATACTTATCGTATCTTGTGATCTATATTAGCAACTAATACGGTGTGTATGACTCTGACTAAATTTCATGTGCCTAGTAGAAGTGTCAACGTTATTGTGGACTTTGACTCTATAAAGCATACGTATTCATTGATAAAATACATAGGTATAAAAATGAAATAAAAACTAATACGTTGTGAACGTCATCAAAACGTAAGCCTGATAAGTTGTTTATTCTTAATGTGATAAAAGTTCAATTCCTTAAAAATTGTCGGCGAATGTTATTTACGTACGCCATTTAGCTCGAGAGCTAATAAAGCTGAAATTCGAGGTTTGATTCCCGCACATAGTGTAGTTTATTTTAGTATTAAACAACAAACGAAGCCTAAGCAAAAATCGACAGTAAACATTCAAGAGGCGATTCACGGAACATTGACTTTAAGTGACAAAAATATTTTTTCGTTGAAGTAAAAGTCATTGCACTAATGCAGTAAAACACCCCGAGTTCTAAATTTATACCTAAAAATAACAAGCAATCAACATCACAACCAATAGAAATCGGTAAATTAATAAGACGATCAATGTTTTTAAAAATCCAGCAGGTGAATGCATTAGACTTTCGACCTAACAGTAAAACATTAGACATATCACTAAAGATTTAAATTAGAAAAAAATCGAAACACTTCTTTGGAGAATTTAATTTAATTCAAATTATTTTTGGTTTATTTTTAATGCTATATTGAGTTCCTTCGTTGCTAAGCGACTTTTACGTCACCAGTCTCACTCCGTTTAAAATAACCAGTAAACGATTATATAAAATTTAAAAACATTGCAATTTCTGTTAACAAAATTGTTGTTAAAGACTTTTGTTCGGATAGCTACAGGAATAATTATCCAAAAGGAAGATATCATTACGAATGTTTAAAACAAAAGAGTAATTTCATATTATAATAGTATGGCAATTATTCTCAACACACAAGCAAAGCATTATGATATAAGCCTATTATCAATGAAACGTTTTGGATAAAATTTAATATATTTTATTCAAATTCCAAGTATCGTTAAGAGCGAGGCTACTCAACTGATGAAACAATGCATTCTAATCTTTATAAGTAAGAAGTCAAAAAAAGTATATTCAATTAACTATACTTATTACCAGGTTGATTTTTGGTTTAGCCCTTAGTTGTTAGTTTACTCTGTTTGGAAGTTAATATTAATTATATGGTAATAAAGATTTATGGTAAAAAGTGCCATGAAAATGTTGTTCGTATCGATCACCCATCATAAAGATATATGTCAAGAAACTGGCATGAGAGTGTGGTTGGTATCATTCACACATGATAAAGGTTTATAGCATAAAACTAACATGAGAGTGTGGTTGGTATCATTCACACATGATAACGGTTTATAGCATAAAACTAACATGAGAGTGTGGTTGGTATCATTCACACATGATAAAGGTTTATAGCATAAAACTAACATGAGAGTGTGATTGGTATTATTCACATACAATAAAGATTTATAGCAGAAAGTATAGTTGGTATCGTTTCCACACAATGAAGAGTTATTGCATGAAAATGAAATGAAAGTGTAGCTGGTATCATTCACTCACAATAAATAGTTATATCATGAAACTGAGATGAAAGTGTGGTTGGTATCGTTCACTAACAATGAAGATTTATGGCAAGATACTTAGATGAAAGTTTGGTTCAGATCTTCCATACACAATAAATAATTATGTCAAGAAATTGACATGAAAGTGGAGTTGGTATTGGTCACAATAAACATTTATGGCAAGAAGCTTACACGAAAGTGTGGTTGGGATTGTTCACTGATATTAAGATTTTGATTTATATACTGGCCCTATTTAGATGAATAATGTCTATAGTTAATCAAATTAAGTAATACTTAAGACTGGTGTCACGTTCTCCGTTCTTGAACGGTGTAAGAGGCGTTCACCTCTTTAAGTGGTGTTACAAACAAAGAGTTAAGTGTACTTGGAACTCCACGGGAAACCTGTAATTAAACCATTGAAAATCGTAACTTCCAACACTTAAAAAAAACGAAAAAACTATCAAAATCTTATAAATTCCATCCTTTAATAATCAATAAATTATTGACATTGTTCCTCTTAATTTTAGGTGTTCGTGTTACTGAGGGTCCAGCTAGACCTTCACTTATAATAGTTCCTCTTTGAAAATGTGACCGACCTTTATAGTTTAACATTTTTAGTACCTTTCTTGCACTGGCGTAGCGACCATGCCCCCCCCCCCCTTGGCATGTATTTTCCGTGCAATTCCTAATATCTCACACCATAAGGTGCTCATGTTATAACACTCATTTAACCAATGTAAAGGAAATAATAAAGTTTAAATACTATAAAAATAATAGAAATTATATGTAAATATTAATGTTAAGACTTGACCCCTTTTCAAATTCCTGGATATGCCAGTGCTTTCTCGTCAAAAATAATGACATACTATTCATATACAGATAAATTCAAGGATATAAAATAATGTGATGCACGGTTAAATTGCCAGTTAATGTTAACACACAAGCAAAACATTGTTGTATTAATTATAATACATTAATAAATAAAACGTTTTAATAAACTTTAGTCTCCTTTATTCAAATTCCAAGTATTGTATTCTAACAAAGGTTTAAGTTCACTTCCAATAAAGGTTTATAGCAAGAAACTGACATTATAGTGTGGTTCGTACCATTTCATTCACAATAACATATTATGTTGGATAAACTTTAACTTCTTTTATTCAAATTCCATTTCCCCCTATGGCTCAGCAATATGTCTGAGGGCTTATAATACTAACACCAGGTTTCTGTACCTGAGGTTGGCACAGCACAAGTAGCATATTGCGCTTAACAACAACCAACCAACCAAATTCTAAATATTGTATTAAAATAACGATTTGTGTAAAAACTGCATGAACATATTTTTTATATCGTTCACCCACAATAAAGACTTATTGCAAGAATCTGGTATGAAAATGTGATAGGTACAGCTCATAAAAATAAAAAAGTATGGCAAGAAACTGATATGAAAATGTTCGTATCGTCCACTCAAAGTAAAGGTTTGTAGCAAGAAAGTAACGTGATAGTTTGGTTGGAATCGTTCACGCGTAATAAACACTTATGAGAAGAAGTGTGTTTGGCATCGTTCACTCATATTAACACATAATTAACTTACAGTTACTTTTAACATACGAGCAAAGCATTATAATATTGATAAACGAAACTTGTTGAATAATCTTTAATGGAGTAGATTACAATCACGTTACACTCAAAAATCAGCCAGTACATACAGATATATATATATTACAATATATTATCCTCAGAAATCAGCCAGTACTTCCTGAGTTAGATTATGATTACGTTATATTCAGAAATCAGCCAGTACATACAAATATATATATATTACAATAATATTATCCTCAGAAATCAGCCAGTACTTCTTGAGTTAGATTCGGATTACGTTATATTCAGAAATCAGCCAGTACTTCCTGAGTTAGATTATGATTACGTTATATTCAGAAATCAGCCAGTACATACAGATATATATATATTACAATAATATTATCCTCAGAAATCAGCCAGTACTTCCTGAGTTAGATTATGATTACGTTATACTCAGAAATCAGCCAGTACATACAGATATATATATATTACAATCATATTATCCTCAGAAATCAGCCAGTACTTCTTGAGTTAGATTCGGATTACGTTATATTCAGAAATCAGCCAGTACTTCCTGAGTTAGATTACGATTACGTTATATTCAGAAATCAACCAGTACATCCTGAGATAGATTATAATCATGTTATACTCAGAAATCAGCATGTACGTCCTGAGGTAGATTACAATCACGTTATACTCAGAAAGGCAGTTAGTAAGTTCTGAGATAGATAACAATCACGTTATATTCAGAAAGGCTGCCAGTAAGTTCTGAGGTATGTTTCAAACACAGAAATCATCCAGTTCGTCCTAGAGCTGTAACTGTATATATGGTTTGTTCTCCTTCTATAAACTAAATGAACCAGCATTCCAGGTTTCTTTGTTGTAAAAAAAAAAAAGAGATATTTGTAGGTTAGCAAAAATATTAGGTTATTTCACAACAAAATAAACTATATTCCCTAAACACAGTTTGTGTGAACACAACAACATTGATTTTTGCAATCGTACAAGCATACAAGGTTTGTGTATTTTATAACAATATAAGTGACGTGTGGTTTTAAATTAAAATTGCGTTTATTCAAATACATTATGGTAAACATCATCACAAAGTTCTATCTAACAATGATAATAATAGGTAAAACTAACTAACTATAACAATGATAATAATAGGTAAAACTAACTAACTATGACAATGACTATTTGCATTCAACATCCGATAACTTCAAATCTTCAAGTCGCTTATCTTTCAAATAGCTCGGGGTAAAACATCTGCCATAAAGATATCTGTTCACTTTGATCACTTGAGCCATTTCAGATTCTTTTTGCACCAACCAGCGTACATGACAGTCACATATAAATGGGTTACCTACAAAACACAAAGCGAAATTGGACTGATTATTACTTCTTTTAATTACTAAATAATTATTTTAAACCTAGTATGAAGAAAACTCATTTTTGTTACACGAACAAAAAACAACTTCGGAAATCCCGTTGTCAGGATTCCGATCCTCTACCATTGGTCACTATACAACTATGTTATTATATGGGTGGCTTTTCCTGTGTGATTTTTGACACCTTTAAGATCTAGTGACAGATGAGCAGACGGTGAAAGAGATGTACCCAAAGTTAACGTCCTTCTAAGTATTATTCTAAAGAACTACTATGTAAAACTAAGTTCAGACATGGGGAGTGTCTTTAGTTTGTTAAGTGGAAACAAATCTTATACAAAAAGCAACTTCTTGCTTAATTGGTTTAATATTTAGGTGGACGCTAATTTTATACAAGAGGAGCTTCTTCTATAATTGTATAAGGTAATTGGGATAATATTTAAGTGGAAACTAATATTATACAAAATCAACTTCTTCCTTAATTGGGATGGTATTTAGGTGGAAGCTAATTTTATACAAGAGTAGCTTCTTCTATAATTGTATAAGGTAATTGGGATAATATTTAAGTGGAAACTAATATTATACAAAATCAACTTCTTCCTTAATTGGGATGGTATTTAGGTGGAAGCTAATTTTATACAAGAGGAGCTTCTTCTATAATTGTATAAGGTAATTGGGATAATATTTAAGGTGGAAGCTAATTTTATACAAGAGGAGCTTGTTGCACAACAACTGTCTATGTTTTAAGTGACTTTGATAACCACATTTTAAGGTATTTGTTAAATACATAAAGAAAATTCAAAGCCTTTACCTTGTAGATAAACATCCAATAACGTACTCCAAATTGGCTGCCACGTGGCTTCGGTCAGTCGTATCAGGTGATTGTCCGCTATATTTATCAGTTTCAAGTTGGGCATCTCAGTGAAAATGTCTTTGGAAAGGGACCAAAGTTTATTCCCCCTATAAATAACCAAGATAAACATAAACTTTTATAGATTACCCTACTATTCATAAGAAGAACAACTGAACAAGGTAAATTTTATTAACTTAATATGTACACATCTGATACACGTAATGTGAAATACACATTGTCATATATCTCGGGTGTTTCTTTTTGTAGAAAGTTCTTAATTACTCATTAAACGTATTGATAATACAGATCATTCAAGTTTATTTTTTTATGAACCAGTGGACTTATATTCATTATATGGGCGGTTCTTTCTTAGTTTTTATTCATTTATGATTCATAAAGTTGAACATTAATTTAAGGTAAGCTTTCCTAATTTCAGTTTTGGATTGCAGTTTTGTTGTTTTCCTAAGTGAAAATTAACCGGACAATTTCTATGATAATACTTATGAATCCAGTTTTGCTATACTAATGATATCATAAGACTTTTAAGGCAGATACAAGGGGTGTTCGTGGGGTATATTCATCCGAAATTTATTACAATTAGAGTGATAATTTTGGCCACTTCTAATGCATTGGGGTTAAATGAGATGTAAATTATAAAAAAACAACAAGCGAAAGTAATGTAAAAATAAATAGTTGAAAGTTGTTTTAACACAAATATACATAATGGGCTCTCGGACCTCTGTTCACCGTGAGAATCGAACGCTGGATTCTAACGTTGTAAGTTTGTTTGTTTTAGAACTAAGCCATATTAGGTTAGCACAAATATACATAATGGGCTCTCGGACCTCTGTTCACCGTGAGAATCGAACGCTGGATTCTAACGTTGTAAGTTTGTTTGTTTTAGAACTAAGCCATATTAGGTTAGCACAAATATACATAATGGGC